GCTTTATTTTCAAGATGCATCTTTCCAGACATTATCTGCTTTTCTTCCCTCCCCCCCTTGAAGATGTTTCATTTCTCATGCAAGAACCAAAGAAGTTTCTTGGATGAGAAGTGAAACGTCTCCAAAAGAAACAAAAAATCAAGAAAGACCAGTTGCCTCTTGAAAATAAAGCACCTCTGCGCAGAAATGGACAGATTTAACACTCGTTATTAAGGATAAAGAAGAAAATGAATATTTATTGACGCGGGAGGTATTTTACCCAATAGTTGGACAATAGAAACAGAAAGGAGGAGAGATAAAAAAGAAGAAAATGTTAATGTGGAATTTGATGGTGAAGATGTTACGTGCTATTGTAATCGTATTGATATATAGTTATATTTTTAATAGTATTGTGATGAATATTACAACAAATGTGTGGACTGTGACTGTTTAAAATCCAGATCTTAAAACTGTTTGGTGGAAATATAAAATTTGTAAAACTTGAAAAAAGAAAATAAAAACACATTTGGGACGACCGTGACCTTGGGTGACTGAGCATCTCCACAGGTATCGGTCAATTCAAATTGGATATGAATTTGTAATGGCCAAAAGCAACAGGCACTTTCTCGACAGCTAGCCTAACTTGGTTTAATAAGGCTTCCTTGGAGACGACGCAAGGCTGCGGTCCTCAAGACAAAAAAACCGCACCTTTTCAATTCTGGAGATGGTCAGTTTGGAATGGGGAGAGGGGGGGAAAAAGGTACAGAATTCAGCTCCCCAAGGAGAGAAGAGAAGGAATATTAAAATAAATAAATACATTCTTTGTAGGTTACGTACATCTTCATCCAGGCTGGTTTGCTCCAAATCCACAATTTTAAATTGGAGGCGCTTAAAAATCTCTTCCAGGGCTTCACAAGCCTTGTAGTCTAATTTTTCACCTGTACAAGGGAAACAAGGAGCGAGTGAGGGTTTATAGCAATAGCAATAGCAGTTAGACTTATATACCGCTTCATAGGGCTTTCAGCCCTAAGCGGTTTACAGAATCAGCATATCGCCCCCACAGTCTGGGTCCTCATTTCACCCACCTCGGAAGGATGGAAGGCTGAGTCAACCCTGAGCCGGTGAGATTTGAACCGCCGAGCTGCAGAACTAGCAGTCAGCTGAAGTGGCTGCAGTACTGCACTCTAACCACTGCACCACCTAGGCTCTTACGTGCTATTAAAATGGGAGGGAGGGGATTATGACAAGCCAGTCAGAAAGAATTAATGGGGGGGGGGGAAGAGAAATTTAAGACAATCCTGGGAGCCAATGCACCAAATTTCTCCCTGCTCTAGAAAGTTCGGATAAGCTGCCCGAGGGAAGACTGCCTCAAGATAGCAGTAGCGCTTAAGACTTATATACCACTTCACAGTGCTTTAAAGCCCTCTCTAAGTGGTTTTAGAGTCAGCCTTGGAAGAAGGCTGAGTCAACCTTGAGATGGTCAGGATCGAACTCCTGGCAGTGGGCAAAGTTAGCCTGCAATACTGCTTTCTAACCACTGCGCACCATGGAAGGGAGGGAAGGATGAAGGAAGGAAGGAAGGAAGGAGAGAGAGAGAGAGAAGGGGAAAAGGAAGAGCAATTGCACTTAGACTTATATACTACTTCAAAGTGCTTTGCAGCCCTCTCTAAGAGGTTTACAGAGTCAGCATTTGACCCACCTCGGAAGGACGGAAGGCTGAGCTCAACCTTCACCCCTTTTCGAATGTCTGATACAATGATTAAGTTGTAAAACGATTGCAACGATTAGCAATCACAATGATTACCAATCAAGAGAACCAATCAGCTGCTCAGAATTTAAATATACCTCCAAACGAACGATCAATCAAATGACCGACAACTCAAGTCAAGCTATTCTCCAAGGCACCTAAGGGCAGGACAAGAAGCAATGGGTGGAAACTAACCAAGGTGAGAAGCAACCTAGAATTAAGGAGAAATTTCCTGACAGTGAGAACAATGAATCAGTGGAACAGAAGTTGCCTCCAGAAGTTGTGAAGGCCCCAACACTGGATGTTTTTAAGAAGATGTTGGATAGCCATTTGTCTGAAGTGGTATAGGGTTTCCTGCCTAGGCAGGGGGTTGGACTAGGAGACCTCCAAGGCCCTCCCAACTCTGTTATTCTATTTATTTCTATCCTATCTGGCCATAATGGTGCACAAGACATTTGTCAGCCAAGAGGAATAGGACAAGAAAATAACAATTGGTTTTACCCAAACTGTATTTCTCGTAGTCTTGTGGAAGGGTCCAGGATTGGACGTGAGAATAGCCCAGTCTTGCACAAGCTACTACGGAGAATCCCTCTGATGCCATTACCTAGTCTGGTAATGAAACGTTCAGAAACTAAATTGGAGAGGAAACCACTGCCAAAAAACAATGATGAAGTGCCCGTATTCACAACGCACCTTTAATTAGAAAAAAAAAAATTGTGCCCGTGATGCAGATTTAGCCCCTTGTAGAGGTCAGAAAGGATGATCAGAGAGGGGGCTGTTATTTCTGCTATGCAGCCAGAGAACCAAAACGCCTGGCTCTTCTTCCTCTCGGCTGTCGGTTGTCACCCATTCATTTTCTATAAGGATGACCTCAGCACCTTCCCACACCTGCAGCTCTGACAATTTATGGCTCTGCCGTCAGTCCAGTCTCTCTCTCTCTCTCTCTCTCTCTCTTTTTCTCTCTCTTTCCCTCTCTTCTGTTTCTCTTTCTTCTTTCTCTCTCTTTCCCTCTCTTCTGTTTCTTTCTTCTCTCTCTTGTTTCTCTTTCTTCTCTCTCCTTTGTTTCCCTCTTCCCTTTCTTTTCTCTCTTCTGTTTCTTTCTGCTCTCTCTTTCTCTCTTCTGTTTCTCTCTTCTCTCTCTTTCTCTCTTCTGTTTCTCTCTTCTCTCTTTTTCTCTCTTCTGTTTCTTTCTGCCCTCTCTTTCTTTCTTTTTTTCCGTCTTTCTCTCTCTTCTGTTTCTCTTCTCTCTCTCTCTCTCCTACTCTGTCTACTATCTGTTTCTCACTTTCTTCTCTCTCTTCTATCTCTCTTCTCTCCCTCCCTCCCTCTCTCTCTGAACAGGCCTTTAATTTTGAAAATGAAGCTTCTATTTAGCCCCTCTGCGCATTAAAAAAAACCTGTCTTCCAGTTAAATAACCCATCATAGCAGTGTAAACACAATGTTTGCCCACTGCTTTATAAAGGGGCTGCTTAGTTATGAAACAGAAAACCAGGAGAGGGAGCGAGAGGGCCGGGGGTTGATTGCAGGTAAATCCAAACAGAATTGTATGTAATTCTTGTGGAAAAGAGGCTGCAGATTTCCATCAGCAACCTGTCCATCTGGTTATACTATTTGGTGTGTTATGTGCCCTCCCCCCATGAAAAAAAAAACCCCACCCCTTGATTTAACTTTGTAAATCTACAAGTGGAGAAGAAAGGGGAACACGAAAGAGAAGAGTTGACTGCAAGCTGCTACAAAACCTGAGCCGGTTTTAGAACGTCAGATGTCACACGCCTGCCAGCTAGCGAGGCAAAAGACAATGACTAATTTGCACCTGGCAAAATGGCCCCAGGATCTGTGACACCCATTTTACAGGACGGAAGGGGCTGTTTCCAAACGCAAATAAATGGAACCAATTCCCCAACAAGAAGAGAGATGGCCACCTTTTTAAGGCACGTTGGCAAATCAACCAAAGGCTTGGAGACCTACCTTTCAGATCCAGGCAATCTATCCTAGGGGTTAGATCTTTGAATTCCTGCAACAGAATAGCGGGAAATGATTATTTGTGGCCGGAAACCACATCAAGGATCAGAGCTTTTACATACAAATACCATATTTTCCCTGAGGATCAGACGCACCTTTTTTCCCTCAAAAAAAGAAGGTGAAAATCTGGGTGCGTCTTATACACTGAATGGAGCGTTTTTGGCCTCCCAAAACCCACGTCCCCTTCACCAAAACGGCCATGCAGAGGGTTTGGGAGGCTTGCAAAATGCTCCTGAGGGCTGGGGAGGACAGTTTTTGCTTGTTTTTGCCACCACCAACACCTGACCCCCCCAGGAAGACTTTAAAAGCGTCCCAAAGCTCTGCATGCCCCCCTCTTTGTGTGTGTGTGCGCGCGCAAAAAACGAGGCGTGCAGAGGGTTTGGGAGGCCTGCAGAGTGCAAAGACCTTTTTTTTTTTAAATTTACCTCTTCAAAATCTTGGATGTGTCTTATACTCAGGTGCGTCTTACAGTCCGAAAAATACGGTATGTAAAAGTGATAAAGATAAATAAGAACAACAACTAGGTGAATGTATACCTGTAACTGCACCTCAGGGGGGCAGCCACAATATAAAATGGTTTGCTGTGACTGCCAGAAATAAACCCCAAGAATAGATAACCACCTCCGTTTCCTCCTCCTCTTTCTCGGTTTTCCCTTTCTTCTTCTTTCTCCTCCTCCCTCTTCTCTTTCTCCTTCTCCTTTTTTCCTTCCTCCTTCTTCTTTCTCCTTTTCCCCTTTCTCCTCTTTCTCCCCCTCCCTCTTATCTTTCTCATTCTTCCCTTTCTCCTTTTCTCCTCCTTTTTCCCTTCTCCTTTCTTCTTTCCCCTCCTCCTTCTTTCTCCTTTTTCCCTTTCTCCTTTCTTCTCTTTCTCCTGCTTCCCTTTCTCCTTCTTTCTCCTCCTTTTTCCCTTCTCCTTTCTTCTTTCTTCTTTCTCCTCCTCCCTCTTCTTTCTCCTTTTTCCCTTCCTCCTTCTTCTTCCTCCTTTTTCCCTTTCTCTTCCTCCCTCTTCTCTTCCTCCTTCTTCCCTTTCTCCTCTTTTTTCCCTTCTCCTTTCTCCTCCTCCCTCTTCTTTCTCCTTCTCCCTTTTCCCTTCCTCCTTCTTTCTCCTTTTTCCCTTTCTCCTCCTCCCTCTTCTCTTTCTCCTTCTTCCCTTCCTCTTTCTTTCTCCTCCCTTTTCCCTTCTTCTTTCTTCTCTTCCTCCTTCTCCCTCTTCTCTTTCTCCTTCTCCCCTTTCTCCTCCTTTTTCCCTTTTTCCCTTTCTCCATTTTTCTCTTCCTCCTCCTCCTCCCCTTCTAGCACTGAAAACTACCAAGCTCAGAGAGCACCAAGGACCTCATAGTCCTCCTCCTCCTCCAACAGCCAGATCTAATCAATCAGGGCAGGGATACTTTTAAGAACAAGCACGTACATACCTGGATCTGCTTCAGTAGTTTGGGGATCTGTTTGCAATTTAACTTTTGACAGGCTTGCTTGTAGGCGGTGAGAACTTCTTCCACAGTCACATTCTGGGCTGGAAAGAAAGTGAGAAAGAGAGGGATGGAGAGACGCCATCGATAATGGCAAGTCCTCTTGGCTAAGCAACAGGGCCAAAGCTTCATCAGGAGCTCAGAAGCTCTGAAATGGGCACAATCTGGAGATATGAAGCCAAGAGGGTGCTACTGGGAGGACCACACTTTTTTGAGGGAAAGTAGCAGACCTTGCTTATATGTTTATTTACTACATTTTTATCCAACAAGTGGATGAACATACATGAATTCCTTCCTTCCTCCTATTTTCCCCCATAATTAACAACCCTGTGAAGTGGGCTGGGCTGAGAAAAACTGACTGGTCCAAGGTCATCCAGACGGCTTTCATGCCTAAAATAGAACTAGAACTCACTGTCTCCTGGTGATTGGCCCAATGTCACCCAGACGGCTTTCATGCCTAAAACAGGACTAGAACTCACTGTCTCCTGGTGATTGGCGCAACGTCATCCAGCCAGCTTTCATGCCTAAAACGGAACTAGAACTCACTGTCTCCTAGTGATTGGCCCAATGTCACCCAGATGGCTTTTATGACTAAAGAGGGACTAGAACTCACTGTCTCCTGGTAATTGACCCAAAGTCACTCAGCTGCCTTTCATGCCTAAAATAGAACTAGAAGTTCACTGTCTCCTTGGTACTTTGCCCAAAGTCATCCAGCCAGCTTTCATGCCTAAAACGGAACTAGAACTCACTGTCTCCTGGTGATTGGCGCAACATCACCCAGCCAGCTTTCATGCCTAAAACAGAACTAGAACTCAGTTTCCTGATGATTGGCCCAATGTCACCCACACGGCTTTCATGCCTAAAACGGAACTAGAACTCACTGCCTCCTGGTGATCGGCCCAACGTCACCCAGACGGCTTTCATGCCTAAAATGGAACTAGAACTCACTGCCTCCTGGTGATCGGCCTGGCACCTT